TCTTCTTGGGTGCACCCTTCTTCTTAGGTGTTGTCTTCTTCTTCTTCATTTGTGAAGCTCCAGCACGGTCATCATCTTCCAGCTGTTGCCTTTTCCTACAGATGCACACTATGATTAGCAAAAACTAGGAAATGTCACAATAATTGGAAAGAGACATACAAATCATTTTACCTTTTTTCCTTTGAATTCAGTCCAACTTCACCATCTTCTCCTAGCTCTGGTTGTTTGCAAGTCTTAGAGAAGTGCCCAAAATCTCTACACCTTTTACACCTAACCTTCTTCTTGGTAGCATTTTTCTCAAGGCAACCTCTAATTCTCACCACTCTCAGCCTACCTGCAGCTCTACCTAGCAGAGGAGGGAAAACTTTGAAGCCTAGGTCAACCTGTGGCCACCGTGACCTGTCTAGCAATGGCTCAACTCTAGAAGCATATGCATCCTTGAACCTCTGAACAGAGTAGTACTCATGCACAAAATCTGCTATTTTAATTCCTCTGTTGGAAAGAATCCATGCCAGGGCATGTTTGCGTGGTTTTCCTATGATTTGCCACTCCCTACATGAACAGGAGTGACCTTGCAGGTCAACCATGTGCCTCTTGTGGTTGTTCCAGTCATCTATAAGTGTTACTTCAGTTATGCCTTCATCACTTCTTACAACCTTCACAACTTTGAGGTTTTTGCTTATAGTGTTCAGGTCTTTGATGACATTGGGCAGTATACCATCCTGCATATCCTTACCAATCTGCCTTCTTAAGTACCTCTTTTCCATTATGAGTTCCCTAATCCCATCTACCAGTTCATGTAGCAAAAGAACTTTCAACTTCTTTATCTGAGTATTGAAACTCTCAGAAACATTATTGGTCTAATAGTCACATTTACTTAGCTATGAAAATCCACACCTGTACTATATCAACTTGTGATGTTGCTGAAGGAAGTCAATAGCATCTGGGGCAAAATCTGCTATCTTCTGCATGTGCCACCTGAACAACCCTTCTGTGTAACTCCTTGCAGCAGGGTACAGGTGGTCAGTAAACACATCTCCTTGATAATGCTTCATAAAGTTGATGTACATGTGCCTCATACACTCTCTGTACTCCACTTCAGGGAACACTGCACCCATAGCCTTCTCAAGTCCTTTACAAGCATCAGTACATATGACTAAACCTGTAGGTGAACCCACTGCTCTATGCAATTGCTGCATGAACCACTTCCAATTGTCTTCTGTTTCAGAATAAAAAACACCATATGCCATATGGTATAACCAGCTGTGCCCATCCACAACAGTTGTTGATGCCAACTGCCCTGTATATCTGCCATGCAATGCAGACGCATCTACACCTATAAATGGCCTACAACCAGCTAAGAAGCCATCAATACATGGCTTCAGGGCTACAAAATTCCTTTTGAAGCGCTTCTTCTTCTCTTCCCTTCTAACTCTATCTCTACAATGCTTCAAAGAAAACTTATTTCTATCTGTGCTTTCCAATTGAACAATAGCTAAAAACTTTCTGAGTACTTCCCATGAACCTGTTGTAGGGAAACCGTCAAACCTGACCATGCCTTGGAGTATTTTAGTTTAATACCATAGTCTCCTTCTAGCTTTTCCTTTGCATACTTGGCTCCTTTATTTGGGTTCTTCTTGACCCAGTCTGCCAACCTATCTGCACACTAACCTTGACTAGCCATCTTTCCCTCCCTCAGCTTTGTAGTGGGACAATTATGTTCAGCAGGCAATGTTTTAATCTACATAAGAAGTTAAGATGAATATCATATGTATAACCGAATAAGTTACAAATAGTAAGAAAAGGACCACACTAACCTGTATTGTTTTCTTATCAAAAATCCTAGATGCATGAATTCCCCATGGGCACCCTTCGACAGCACAATGTGCAATGAATCTTGTCTTGTCAGTTTGCAACTTAGCTAACTCTAAACCTTTCTTAACATCGTAATGTCTAATAGCTTTCCTGAATGTTACTATATCAAGAAACAATTGTCCCTTGACAATCTTTGGATTTTCAGGATCGTGGAGGATAGTTATTTCTTGGGGATCTACATCATCAATTTCTACCTCAAGAGGAGCACCTCCATCAGCAACAATAGGATCAGCATTATCAACAGATGCTTGGGCACTGTCAGTGTTGGCTAGGTGTGTAGGTGGTACTGAAATGTAGATGTGCTCATCATCAACCCCAACATACTCCTCTTCATTATCAAAGATGTCTAGCTCCCTATCAGGCTCTATGTTCAACTCATCAGCAGTACAAGGATTGGCATCAGTAGAAGCTTGGGCATTTGGAATGGTAGAAGAAGAAGCATTTGCATTTGGACTGGCAATAATTAAAGCATTTGCATTTGGAATGGCAGCAGTTAAAGCATTTGCATTTGGAATGACAGCAGTAGAAGCATTTGCATTTGGAATGGCAACAATAGAAGCACTTGCATTTGGAATGGCAGCAACACAAGCATTTGCATCAGGATTGAAATCAGTAGGGTTGACTGCTCCATCATCAGGTGGAATAACACATAAAGGCTCTAACAACTCATACTCAAGTGCATGAGAAACAACATTATCAAAGACTCCTACCAACACATAGCAACATATTTCAGACTTATACATGTCAAACAAATCTATCATCTGAATGTCACTGTCTAATCTGACATCTTCTTGCACATTTTTGTCAAAGAACCACAGAGATGCAGACTGGTTAGAGGCCCATTTAACTTCATTCCACAAGCTTTCCCTCAACAAGTCTAAAGAAAACGACCCTATCTCGACACCCCACTTAATCACAGAACCTTTGGTGTAAACTTTCCTACCCAACGCATCTGTTGTATTAAAACCTTCAACTTTAATCTCTAGCGAGAAGAGGTCGGTCCTAGCAGGAAGTAAGCAGATCAAGTCAATGAGTTCTACAACAAATTGCAGTAACAACTAGCCTATTCATCGATGGAAAGTCATATCAGATCGAAATGGATTCAGATGCATACCTCGGTATGCTGTCATCCATTGCCGCAACACGGTTACCATGCGCCTCGTCCTCCATGGAGGACACGACCGCCATAGTACTCAAGCTTGCACCATGATCTTCAATCGACTACCATCAGTCGCGGTCACCGCCGCCGCCGCCGGTCACAGTCGCCTCCGCGGCTGATGAGCTAGGGTTCGAGTGAGAGAGAGGAGGCGGTGGGGAATGGATGGATTGACTCGATCCAGTCAAACGGGCACATGTATGGAGAAGCTGGGGGCAAAAGGGTCCATACGAATGTACGTACTAGCTGTATACACCTGCATGTGGGCCACAGGTCACGGCAAGTGTACATAATGGCATTTTTAGACTCCAGTGTAATTGTAATGGCATGCTTACAATAAGACTAATAGTAATGATATTTTTTAGAAACGCAAGAATTGTAATGGCACCAATCCAATTAACCCAAAAGAAAAAGGACCTTCCTCTGTCCATGGCTCCGGTAGGCTTGGTTTGGCCGCTGCGGTCTCTGCTGCCCTACGCGCCCACCGCAGTGCTACCCCCATGCTCGCCTTCGCCCGTCTCGGACGCTGCCATCGCCACCCTACCTCAGCCTCTGTGCCCGCCGCCCACGCCGCTGGCAAATCATAGGAAAACCATGCAAACATGCCCTGGCATGGATTCTTTCCAACAGAGGAATTAAAATAGCAGATTTTGTGCATGAGTACTACTTTGTTCAGAGGTTCAAGGCTACATATGCTTCTAGAGTTGAGCCATTGCCAGACAGGTCACAGTGGCCACAGGTTGACCTAGGCTTCAAAGTTTTCCCTCCTCTGCTAGGTAGAGCTGCAGGTAGGCCAAGAGTGGTGAGAATTAGAGGTTACCTTGAGAAAAATGCTACCAAGAAGAAGGTGAGGTGTAAAAGGTGTGGAGATTTTGGGTACTTCTCTAAGACTTGCAAACAACCAGAGCTAGGAGAAGATGGTGAAGTTGGACTGAATTCAAAGGAAAATAGGTAAAATGATTTGTATGTCTCTTTCCAATTCTTGTGACATTCCCTAGTTTTTGCTAATCATAGTGTGCATCTGTAGGAAAAAGCAACAACTGGAAGATGATGACCATGCTGGACCTTCACAAATGAAGAAGAAGACAACACCTAAGAAGGGTGCACCCAAGAAGAAGAAAACACCTAAGAAGAAGAACACACCTAAGCAAAAGAAGCAGCAAAAGAAAGCTGCTGCTCCAGCAGCTAGTGTTGTGAGAAGCATGAAGGACTTCTTAACACCATATGATATGTTGTGATCACAAGCATGAAATTAGTTTCTTTTATGGCCTGAACATTATGTATTGTAGGCCTTGAACTTTATGTATGGTACGGTCTGAACTTGATATATGCTAGGGCCTAAACTCGATGTCTGTTATGGTCACAGTGAATGCTTGTTATGGCCACCCCCTATTTCTGTTTAGTAATGGCCTAAACTTGATGAATGCTAGGATCTAAACCTATTTGTGTGTTCTGGTTATGACTGGATGTTTTATAATGAATCTGAACCACCTTGTGTGATATAAGCATGTAAATTATGGCCTCATTTATTCATGGCGTGCATGGACAGTTGCTGCTCCAAACGGAAACATCTATTTATTCATCACAAATTCACAGATTGATCATAATTATAAGAAAAAGAAGCTGTGTTGCACACATTGATAGATTCATCACAAATTCATAGATTCACAAAACCTACAGAAACATGCATTCCTTGATCACAGATACACAGTTGCACAGACAAAAATAAACATAAATTAGTAGTAGCACTTGACAACCTACGGGCTAAGATCACTGAACTCCAAACTAGTAGAACCAAGGTGCATACTACTTCATTTCCAAACTGCTACAACTAAGAGGCTTACAAACAGATTTAGCATCACCACAACAACTAATGCATTGCCTAAGCTAAAAGCCTTGTTCAATCCTCCATTCTTCAATATTTCATCTCCTGCTTCAACTTTAAAATGTCAACCTTCAAGTCAATGATCTAAACCTTCAAGTCCATCATCCCAATATTTATGTCACACTTCTGTTCTATGCCTTGAACCGCAGGAGCAACAAAAGGGCCCTGTACACCTTCCACTTCCACATCCCTGAGCTTGTCTGGATGATTGGCACGCAGATAAGCCAGGTATTGATCCTCAAACCAATAGTTCACACAAGTGTCATCGTTCTGCAATTGACAATCAAAACCCCAACCCACTTAACACTATTTGCAGCTGGACGAACATGGAACCCAACATCAAAGGAAAAGCAAGATAAATTACGGGGAAATTGTTGGGGCAAGTGTAATACATATTGCCAGCCTTGCTCTTGCGCCTAATGACCTGGATCTTGCATTTGGGGCAATCGATCCGTGGGAGACCACCAACCTGGCTAGCACTTGAACTGGCAGTCGTAGATGCCATCTCTGCTCAGCAGATGGGTTGGGGAAGGAGCAACAGTAGTCACGGTCACCGCCGCCGCGAGCATTAGTCGCCGCCGCTGCCGGTCGTAGTCGCCTCCACGACCGATGAGCTAGGGTTCGAGCGAGAGAGAGAGGAGACGGTGGGGAATGGATGGATTGACTCGATCCAGTCAAACGGGCGCATGTATGGAGAAGCTGGGGGCAAAAGGGTCCATATGAATGTACGTACTAGCTGTATACACCTGCATGTGGGCCACGGGTCGTGACAAGTGTACATAATGGCATTTTTCAGACTCTAGTATAATTGTAGTGGCACACTTACAATAAGACTAATAGTAATGGTATTTCTCAGAAACATGAGAATTGTAATGGCACCGATCCAATTAACCCTATTTTTTAAGGTGTAGAGATAACATTGCTTCTACGAGGCTTCTAAGGCTATTCACACTTGGACTTCAGCCGTGCTATTTCAGGGCCTCCTTTTTTAGGCCTCTTTTGGTTGGGCTTTTGAACCTGTTTTTGTTTTTACAAAAGCCAAAAACTAATCAAAGCACTCCAAAGCCATAGCTAGTTTAGGCCAAAAGCAGCTTTTATCTTAGGCCGAAACTGAAAACAGCTCCTCCCTGCTTTCAGCTGCTTTTGCATTTATGCCACCGATGTACCGTTTCTTTTTGTTTCGATTGTTTCCGTCCGCGACCTTTCTTTCCCCACGCTGGCGACGCGAGCTCTTCTTCCGCCCGTGACCCTCGCCCTATCCCAGGCGGCCGACGACCCTCTGCCCTATCCCCGGCGGCCGGCGAGGACCCATGGCGGCCGCGTGAGGTACCCAGGCTCTAGGACGAGGCCGTGCTCTAGGCGGCGGCGCATCTCCCAGTCGCATCCCGCTCCATGAGGCCGCGGCGGCGCATCTCCCAGTCGCTCCCTTGGCTCCGGTTGTGCAGCCCCGTTCTCTCCGGCCTGCCGTCCCTCGCAGCCACCAGCCCAAGCACGCCGTGGCGGTCACGAGATCCAGAAAGCCATCTCGTACCTCCTGCAGTTACGAGCAGCAGATTGGTTGCTTCAGTACTTTCCTTTTTCTTTGAGAAAGCTTCGATTCAATCCTTCCTAATTTTGATCCGTGCTCATGGTCTTCGGCCCCATCCGTCCGATTGTCCGTCGATCTGCAGCTGGCGCTGCAGCCGCGCCGTCAGTGGCGGATCCATATTCATGGCTGTGGGTGCGGCCGCCCCACGAGAAATTAGAAAAACAGGGATCAAATTCAATTTTTCATCGTATATGCAGCCATACGATAAAAAACTATGCACCCACAAAGCCAGCGCACCTCTCTTAAATTTGCTCTAGCTCCACCACTGCGCGTCGTCCCTCTCTGGCCGGTGTCAGTGTAGCATGTGCAGCAGGCCGGAGTGGCCGCCTCTCCCTCGAGCTAGCGCGCAGCATGGTGGCCGCCGGCCGCCTCATCGAGGACGAACGGGAGCATGCTGGGAAGAGAGAAGTGAATGACATGTGGGCCATGTATGACATGTAGGTCCGCTGACAATAGCTTTTGCAAAAGCCACAGTAGTTCAACCAAACAGTCTTCTGTCTTTTCCACAGCTGCTTTCCCAAAGCCCACAGCTCACAGCAGCTTTTCTAAAAGCCACAACTCAACCAAACAGGGCTTAATATTTTGGTAAAGGCTCAAAGTATGTTGTATGCGGACTCAAAACCTACTTGTAATAGGAGTGCATGACTTAAGAAAGACGTGGTATTAGGACTTTTATTTCTATTAGGGTTTAAGTGTACAATCCTACTAAGAGCAGAACTCTACTTGCATGCATGAGGGCTTTGAAGAAGACTATGACCTGGATGGATCCACTAGCTGCTAATAGTTCGTAACTAATATTAGCTGCTATTAGCTAGTTTGGCCTAGCTCTATGGATCCAAACAAGATCTATATATATAAACAAAAGGTTGAGACCATATGTATCAACCAAGTGAACACAAAGAGTCTCATCTAAAACTTGCAAGTACCCGTTTGAGGAACAACCAAAGCTGATGGCTCGTCAAAATGCTAATGGCACTCCCTTGAGAGCCTATCGCTATGTCGTTGTGTCGTCTAGTGCCTGTTTGGATGGACTAGGACTAACAACTAGTCGTATTAGCTCCTATAAGTGGACTAATGAACTAACAACTAGTTCATGACTAGTGGACTAATAATTAGTCCGTCTATTTAGATGCTTAGGGACTAAAAATTAGTCAACTAGTTGTTAGTTCTATGGATCCAAACAGACCCTAACAAGTGCAGTCATCCCCCTTATATGGAGAGACTACGTTACAACATGAGTCCAACACTTAGCTCTACTTAACCCTCTACTGCTAATTACTACAACATATGTCTAATATAATCCCTTTAGTATAAATTAAGTATTCAATGCATACACAATAATGTCTACCTTGGTGAATATTTCGCCACATTGAAGAATGTTATCTGCAAACCTTTATGTACTCTGGACTTGAGTTCTCGTCTTTGCCTTCATAAAGACCAGCCCAGTGAGTTTGCTTGGCCTCAATCAGAACACCTTGAGAGACCTCTGACCTCGCAACTCCAATCCATCACAGTGACTCCAACTTGAATAATATGCATCATTGCAACTTGTACATATATGCAATGCCATCTCTCTACTATCTAGAAGAGATTAGTGTCATTGTCTGACTCACTGATGCTGTAATATTAGCACTTGCCTTCTTCCTCGATATGCATAAGGGAACATGCCCACTGACAACCAAGGTTCACTTTATCGATAGAAAAAATATACAGGAGGCCACTGATAAATGGATTTCAGAAAAATTATTGGTCAAAACAAACACAAAGGGCTAAATTTCTCAAGAAGTCAAAAGCATTTTACACCAAGAACGAACTAGCCCAATTACATGTTTTATCGGAATTTTATTGCCAACAAACTTTTCCCTGGTCCCGACTGCAACCACTACGGTTTTCTGAAGAAACTTGGGTAATTTAACTTACACAGAGGCCTCTTTTGAATTTTAGTTTTCAGCTTGGACGACGACCTGATCTGTTCAGCCAATTTGGACTGTGTGAAACGGAACAAGGAATCCTTGCAAGCAAAACAGTAATGCTGGATGGTGATTGGTCCAGGTCGATTAGAACGATAGTGTGGTTCTTGGATGCATCCGTAGCAAAAGAACATTGACCAAAGACTAGAAGCTAGGCGGGCAATGAATTGGGGAACACAGTTTTATGCGTACTCTCACCATGTTTTTTACTCTTTCCAGCTTCCGGGCTGGGCTTGATGAGAGCTGACCTGTTTTGGTCTCTTGGTCTTGGGATGTGTGACTGTGAGTGTGACATAACATCCTCCTCTATTTATACCATCCAGTCTATTGTCTTGGTGGCCAACGCAAACTAAACTTTGCATGCTGGTAGCCACTTCTCCTCCTCATGGCCCGAGCAATAAACCTGATCTCCTTCTTGCTGTGCTTCTGTTCCCATGCGCTGCCGTCCCTGGGGAGCAAGAACAACAGCTCCACCTCCACAGACGAGCTTGCTCTCCTCTACTTCAAGTCCATGGCGTCTTCAGGCCAGTCCAGCTTGCTGGCTTCTTGGAACACGTCCAGCCACTACTGCAACTGGCCAGGAGTGGCCTGCGGCAGCCGGCACCCCAGCAGGGTGGTCGCCCTGCGACTGGCCTCCTCCAACCTCACCGGACGAATCAGCCCCTTGTTGGGCAACCTGTCCTTCCTCCGGGAGCTGGTCCTCGACGACAACAAGCTCACCGGGCCGATACCGCCGGAGCTCGGCCATCTTGGCAGGCTTCAGGTGCTGAACATGAGCAATAATCTTCTGGAAGGAAGCGTTCCCAGGACCCTGGGAGGATGCAGAGAGCTCAAGAGGCTTGATCTACATGACAACCATCTCCAAGGTGAGATCCCACACGAGATCGGCGCCTTGCAAAACCTGGTCTCCTTGAGTCTGAGCAAGAACGGCTTGGCAGGAGAGATACCTCCATCTCTATCAGGATTGACATCCATCAGAAACTTATCTCTGTACGCAAACAGATTATCGGGCGACGTACCACCTTTTCTGGGCAATCTAACCAGCCTCCAGATTCTTGAGCTCCATGAAAACATGCTGTCAGGTACCATCCCTTCGTCCCTGGGCATGCTGCCCAGTTTGTCTGGGCTCAGCTTAGGCTTCAACAATTTGAGTGGCCTCATCCCAGATTCCATCTGGAACATTTCCTCGCTTGTTCGGCTCTCTGTCAGTCATAACATGCTGAGTGGAGCAATTCCTCGAGATGCATTCAATAATGTTCCCCGTCTGCAGGAGTTATTCATGGATTTCAACCAGTTCGATGGCTCGATCCCGGCCTCGATATCTAACGCTTCTGACATGGTGATGCTTCAGCTCATCAACAATTCTTTCGGTGGAGTTCTTCCGACAGCGCTGGGAAGACTAGGAAACCTCAGTTTCCTGCAGCTCAGTGTGAATTTTTTTGAAGCCAAAAAACCAAGAGACTGGGAATTCATAACTGCTCTAACGAATTGCTCTCAGTTGCAGGTTATGGAAATGTTCCTGAACAGTTTTGAGGGGGTGCTTCCTGCTTCAATTTCCAATCTTTCTGCTTCGATACAAATTCTTAACTTAGCAGCCAATGACATCTCGGGAAACATTCCTGATGACATCGGCAACCTCGTTGACCTGCAAACTCTGGCTCTCGCTGAGAACTACCTCACAGGATCTCTTCCCTCTTCCTTGTGCAGTCTTAGAAACTTGGTCAGGCTTTACCTAGTCGGGAACGGCATATCCGGGACAATCCCACTGGCCATAGGAAATCTTTCAGAACTGTCTTTGCTTGACCTCAGTTTTAATGACATTAGCAGTACAATACCAAGCACGCTTGGAAACCTCACAAAGCTGTCACAGCTGGGTCTTTCACAGAACTACTTGACTGGCCCAATTCCTAGAGAAATATTCAGTATCTCCACGCTTTCCATTGGTTT